TACATACCTTGTACTAAGCACCAAGCGCCACACCACAGCCACAGCCACATGTCTACAAACTCAGTTCGCCCTTAGCCCCTGTCGGTGTTTCAAGAATGGACACTGGCCTTGTTTTTTTCCTGTCAGTAGGCTAGAGCTGAAGACTCTGGGTGTAGATATATCTGTCATGCATAAGCTCACAGGCAACTAATTATATATTCTGAGCACAGTAATTTTTGTGTTCCCAAAATGGAAAACAGTACTTCCTTCCTAAGATATTGGGTTGAGATGCCGGCGACATAGACTTCCTCGCAAAATTGATGTTTAATGGCACTAAATCTCTATGAATATTTACAGAATTCCCTATGGAGCCCCCCATGTTTGAGCGAGTAATATAGTATGCTTGGTTTTAATCAATAATCCCTGCTTAAGCCATGTTCAAATTTCGGATGATTTACAGCAACAGGGAGCTCATCTCCCTAGCTCATCTGCACATTGAAGAAACACTATAACATGCCTAAGGATAATATAAAAGTGTCTGTATGTTACTCCATACAAATGCGGACTCGCACCGGAGTGATTTCTGGGTTGAACTTTGGGTGGAAGTGTTGGCCAAACAAATGCCAACAGAGTTCGCTGATTTGTGGTATCCTGTCACATATGGCTGACAATCCTAGGAGGCAGAAGGGTTCGGTTTGAGGTCCCAAATGAGCCCCGAGTATTGGTTTCCATTCATTTAGCAGCCCAGTATTGCTGGAGGCTGAACTTTGGGTGGAAGTGTTGGCCAAACAAATGCCAACAGAGTTCGCTGATTTGTGGTATCCTGTCACATATGGCTGACAATCCTAGGAGGCAGAAGGGTTCGGTTTGAGGTCCCAAATAAGCCCCAAGTATTGGTTTCCATTCATTTAGCAGCCCAGTACTGCTGGAGGCTGAACTTTGGGTGGAAGTGTTGGCCAAACAAATGCCAACAGAGTTCGCTGATTTGTGGTATCCTGTCACATATGGCTGACAATCCTAGGAGGCAGAAGGGTTCGGTTTGAGGTCCCAAATGAGCCCCGAGTATTGGTTTCCATTCATTTAGCAGCCCAGTATTGCTGGAGGCTGAACTTTGGGTGGAAGTGTTGGCCAAACAAACTCAAATAAACTTTGTGTGCTATCCTGACGAACACAGTTGTCCTTCAACTTGTCCTGGAACAACGTTATGTTTAATTTGGACATTCCCCATTGAGAGATGCATTTCTCAATCAAACTTTATACAAATTCTTGTTCAATCAACCATTTTTTACACACAAGGGTTACGAGTTCAAGGTTAAAGGCACAGGTGAGATTACACTGTTTGATCTCTGCAGTTGTGAACTGTCAGATACTGCACTCCCACCTGAGATGTTCATTTGGAGCAGTTCAGGAGTTGCACATATTGTGCTACTCACTCCAGCTGTATTTGGAAACATATCTCCAAGTGTATGATTCAGACAGTCCAGCAAGTGCTAATCACTCACAGCTACCATTCAACTGTTTATTCCGAAGAGGAACAAATCGTGAAATTTACACACTTGGGTAGGCCTGCATTGCCTCCGAGATACTTTGTGCCCCTGCCATAAAATATTCAGCTGATTACTCTCAGGGTAGTACTCCCCAGCCGGTCCATCTACAATGACTTGATCTGTATTTAGGAAGATTATCCCAGTGGGAGCTTGAAGAACGGTGAAGAAATGAATATTTTTCAACCCTTAAATCTGAGCTAAATCTGGCTTAAATCTCCACATAGTCACCTCTGAGTTGCCACATAGTTTCGCTAGATTTAACCACCCAAATGAGATGTATGATTCCGACGATTCTACTCCAACTGTAATTTTTGGGCAGATTCAAGGTGTTTGATTACGACAGTTGACCGAAGGTGCAAAGAAGTGTGTTAGAAATAGCCCGACGCAAGTCTGTATTGTTACACCAGGCCACGCTCTGATCTATTTCTCCAATACGACTCTAGAGTCTACTTACGAGTACGACGAGACTTTGTTTCCCCTCTAAGCTTGCGCTCCACCCGGATCGCCTTCATCAGCATGGTGAACTTGTTCCGCATTCCCGGAAACTTTGCCTCGAATGCCACATGATCCCCTCCGAATCGAACCTGGAACTCTTCGCAAACAAACCTGATATTCCCCAGCTTCACCGCCTCAGAGGCATACTCTGCCGACTTGAACTGGGTTGACCAGTTCTTCAGAGGGATATTGAGGCCCTTCTGTGGTGATCCATGCTCCCAGTATTCGAGCGCATCATCCAAGCTTTTTGTCTCAGGAATGCGGGATGGACCGAGAGGAAGCGGTGAAGGTGGGACTGGCGATACCAGTCGGCCAGCTGATAGAGGGGCTTCGATTCGGGCTGGAGCAGACCTTGATTTGGCTGAATACAACTTCAGTACCAATCAATAGCAGGGAGAGGCAAATACCAGTAGGTGTTGCAGGCGGAGTGGACAACCCAATGCCCTCAACGATCCCCTGTATCTTCTCCAACATAATCCCTTCGAACCTCGCAAGATCGGCCTTCAGTAGTGGTGCTCCTTCGTCCTCACCCATGAAAGTCTCGTGACGGTCAATGACGCGGTCATCCATCATAATGTCAGAGAACCCCTCTTCATACGCCATGAGCTCGTCGAGCAGGTATCGCATGAGCGTTCCCACCTTGAAATTTATCAGTGGCTGACCCGACATGTAAGTGAGGAAAAAGACATACATTTTCATTGGAGGACCATCCGCCCCACCATTTCACCGCTTTCAAACTCCATTTTCGATCTGCCCACAGAAAACGGTACTGCGCACCACCTCGACGAAAGCAATGTGTGGTGAACTTGCCATTGCGACCCTTCATGACATTGCACCTCTCTACAATGTCGTCCATGAGATGTTCAAACCCCGAACGGCTTGCGCATTCGCCAAATTTGAGTTGGCCCGTGGATGCGAAGGCCGGGAATATAAAGTCGGCTCCTGCCAAAGGGCGCCTCAACAAATGCTCCATGTGCGCTTTCCAGGCCAGAACATGCGTGTAACAATCAATCTCCGGGTGCGAACGATCGATCTGGACCATGTATTTTTGAACTGACGATCTCGTTAGAAAGTCCGATGGATGAGTCAAGGTTCTACTCACCTTTATTGGGGTCTTTGTTGGTCTTACGGAAGATGAGCGAGAACTCGTGATAAGGAATTCCTGTCGCGGAGCGCAGATCGAGCTTGATATCTTTGAACTGTAGATTGATGAGCTCGTCGTTTCTATTAGATTCATAAATTAATACTGGAGTCAAAGCGAAAGGTTGTCATACCGTGTCCACAGCGTAAATGCCGTGGTAGCAAACGCTTTGAAATATAGCCGCTGAGTCACAGTAAAGTACTTGATTGCTTCCTCGCTATCAAGGTATTCGAGGATGATCTTGAGATCAGCGGGTAACATCGGAAGGGCTTGCGTCGCTGTACTAGTCCGATTGTGACGGTTCTTGAGAGATTCGTAGTAGGTCTTGAACCCGTTCTCGAAGACAGGATTCCCTTCCCACTTTTCGGTGTGCGAGTTGTACCTCCAGAACTCGCCCTGGCAGCCTCGAACCCTGTTTTGTCTAAGATATCTATCTGATGAGGCTTAGGCCACTCACCGCTCGAAATAATCTTTGAACGCAGAACGAAGCCCCTCTGCAGAAGCGAATCCACGCTCGAGGTGCTCGCATTTGTACGCTGTAAGGGCTCTGAGAGCAAGCGGGGTTTCTGCCGTGATCTCATCGAATGCGTCCGCCGAGATCTCGTCGTCCAGACGTCCTTCTGCAGTCCAATCTACAAGCCACTTTTTACCGCTTTTGACGTAATTTGCGTAGCCCTTCTTTGTCCGCTTCGATTTGTACCATTCGTCTGTGGTCTGCTGGCTGTTATTGAGAAGAGAGGAAGCGGAAGGGATGGTCGGCAGTGTCGGCGATTTCTGCGCGTGAGTTTTCTTTGCCCCCACCGGCTTCTTCTTCTTGGCCGCCGAGGAGGCAGGGCCAGAAGCAGCTGGTGTTGCCGCAGAAGATGTCCGCTTTGCGTGGCTTCGGAGGCTTCGGTGAGATGTCATATCTGTGTCGATGTGGGTTGACGACGAGAGGGCTGGCAGTGCCAGTGTGCTGGACCAATGAGACTCTCAACAAATAAGCACAGAACGAAGTGCTCATTGACAACATCCCCTTTGGCACGTAGATAGCGCGCAGTTCAGAGCATGTACAGAATGCACGGTTCATGTTCAATCGCAAGACTAAAACAGTTCAGTACACACATTCCTGATTGGGAAGTGCTTAAATCTGACACCTCGCTTCCTTAAATCTAGCCCGACTATGACCTACATATGTTCGAACAACGGTAATATGATTTAATTACCATGCTCAGGGCCGCCCGTCGACGGCCCAGCGTGGTCGTGCGCAGGGCCAAAGGAGACTACGATGCAGCGCCGCAGGTCGAGGCTTCCGAGCGCTGAGTACTAGTTGAAGATCTAAGTAGTACTCCATGTTCAGTATCTCAAAATTCAACCACGCGCCCTTTGCCCGTACCCCGCTTACCCCGCACCCCCAGCCCCTGATCCCCGCATCTACGATACTTACATCCGTAGACGGCCCCGAACCCAAACCCAAACTCCATTCCCGAGCCTTCCGATCCCCCTTTGATTATCAACTGCATTGAAATATCAAAAAAAACCGACCAGATTCCTTCTAAAATCAATTAATCAAGCACGGGCTATGCCGACGGAGTGATGATGCAGTAATATATCCGCGTCGATGCAAGCCGCGGATGCAATATTCGATATTCGACTCTCGAGACGCAAGGGGCGGAGCTGATCTCGGGGAGGAGAGACAGGGGCGGAATGCTCAGGAGGGGAGACAGGTGCGACATGCGGAGCCGCGATTTGCCGCGGGGCAGGCGGCGGCCGGACGCGGTCCGAGGTCGGCAACGGAAGAGAGGAGACTCATAAAGAAAAAGAACTTAGAAAAAGCTCGTCTGCGGTCATTACATATATGACTCGGGCCCGAATCGAACGGGCGGCTTCTCCGTTGAGCTTGTTGATCATCGTAGCAGAATGCCTAGCAGCAGGAGATGCGGGCCATCCGCCACCGAGTCTCTGAGCCTCTCTGAAGGGGGCGAATATTAATCCTGGTTCAACTTCAGCCTCCAACATTCTGATCTCGCGCAGTGAACCGGAGTCCGGACGGCTCACCGAAAGCCTATTTAGTGCGCGCAGCGTCCCGTCGAGACGCGAAGAATCGGCGAGCAAAAGCAAAATAGTCCGATACGACGGGGAATCTAAATGACTCGGGCCCGACTCGAACGGGCGGGGTCTCTGTTCCAGTTCATCATGATTCCGCCACCGAGTCCTTGAAGAGCGCGCGCCCTGAGGCCTGAACGGAAATATGTGGTGTCGGCTTGCCCCAGCAGCCGCGGGACAGGGGAAGACGCGCCAAGACTACGGACCCACTTTTTCTGAAATCATACATTCTCGTTCGGCAGCACCTCAGCCACCCAGCAGAACCCGGTGTAGAGCTTCACGAGCCGCAACAAAAAGCACATTGGCTCCAAATGACTCGGGCCCGAATCGAACGGGCGGCGTCTCGGATCCGGCGATGGACCCACCGTGACGCAATGGGCAGCAGCAGGAGATGCATATGCGGGCCGTCCGCCACCGAGTCTTCGAACCTCTCTGAAGGGGGCGAATATTAATCCTGGTTCAACTTCAGCCTTCAGCTTCAACGTTCAGCCTTCAACGTTCGTCTGATTTCTAATCTCATGCAGCGATCCAGGACTCACCAAAAGCCCATCTCACTCCTAGCTGTCGCTGCGTGTGCGTTACAAAAGGAAGGGGAGCAGGTACGGCGCCACTGTCGCGTTTCAACTTGGACAGCCGGGCGGGCACGAAGCCGTCCGTACATAAGTAGTCCTCGAACCTGTCGGTCGTGCGTGAGGCCTTGAAGAACGACTTGAGCTCGGATTGACGCTGCGACACCGCGTAGCGTTCCAGCTCGAGACGCTAAAAATCAGCGAGCAAAAGCAAAATAGTCCGATACGACGGGGAATCTAAATGACTCGGGCCCGAATCGAACGGGCGGGTTCCCCAACAGCAATCGCGTCCAAGTGTAGCAGGAGGAGATGCGGGCCGTCCGCCACCGAGTCGTTGAAGGGAGGCGCGCCCTGAAGGCCTGGACGGAAATATGTGTCGGCTTGCCTCAGCGGTAGGAAGGCGCTAAAAGTAAGCCCTCCGGCGATTCTGCTTGGAACCATTATGCATGTATTGTCGTCCGGCCACCCAGCACCAACACAACGGGTGTAGAGCTCCACGAAGCCGCAAAAAGCACATTGGCTCCAAATGACTCGGGCCCGAATCGAACGGGCGGCGTCTCGGATCCGGCGATGGACCCACGCAATGTGCAGCAGGAGGAGATGCATATGCGGGCCGTCCGCCACCGAGTCTCCGAACCTCTCTGACGGGGGCGAATATCAATCCTGGTTCAACTTCAGCCTCCAACATTCTGATCTCGTGCAGCGATCCGGAGTCCGGACGACGCACCGAAAGCCTATTTAGTGCGACATCGCGCTCAACCGGGCGCAGCGTTCCAGCTCGAGACGCGAAGAATCAGCGCTCAGCCAGCAAAAGCAAGATGGTCCGATCGATACGACGGGGAATCTAAATGACTCGGGCCCGAATCGAACGGGCGGCTTCTCCGTTTAAGCTTTTTGATTGGAACGCCTAGCAGCAGGAGACGCGGACCTTCCGCCACCGAGTCGTCATGTATATAGTAGGGGTCTGAGAATAAGGTGGTCGGTCCGACAGCTAAGAGCTAAGAGTGCGTGGACGAACGATGGGAGTGCTGGGAGCATACTTGCTTGGAGCACAGACGTCTTGCTGCTTTACGCTCGTCCTACGGACTGGAACCGGCGATTCTGGGTTTGAAACGACATGTTCTCGTTCTGCATCTGTTACGACCGTGTGCAGAGCTTCAGGAAGACCATTGTTCAAGTCAGTCGGAACAACTCTTCCCATCCTGAAATGGCTCGATCAAACGGGGGCTTCTCCGTTGTGTATCGTGAGCGCAGGAGTGGATGGGGATGCCACCAGCGCTCTGAGCTCAGTCAGCAGTAGGCACAAAGAAAAATGTAAACCCAATAGAAACAAGGGCCACGACTCGAGCCCGAATCGAACGGGCGGCTTCTCCGTTGATGATACCATCAAACAGTGTAGCAGGAGGAGATGCGGGCCTTCCGCCACCGAGTCCGCCTCTGCACACTGGTCGAGCCTGGATATTGAGAACCAGTGTCTGAAAGCTCGCTCTCTCTCTCTTGCTTCGGAGCACAGAGCTGACATCCCCCGAGTCGGTTCAACCTGCGTATGGAGTACCAGAATGAGCGAGCGGCATTTGAACGCTGAGCGCTGAGGACTTCGCACTCGCCTTCCCGCCCTGCTCTCCACGATTCACGCCCGCGTCCCCGTGCTGGTGGACGACCATCCCGCCGCCCCCGCGCCGCCCACCACGAGGAACCGCCCCACCGTCCCCGCCGCCGTCCCCGCACTGTGGCGCAGGCGACAGCGTCATTCCGCGGACGCTCGTCACCGTGAACGGCTGCCGCACCCGTCCCGCCCCAGCGCCGCCGACCTTGCGGTTCGACGCGTAGAGCCGCGGGGGCAGCACCGCCGCGGCGTATGTGCCGTCCTCCGGGAGTGTGCTCACATTAGTGGCAGGGAAGGCGGTGCCCTTGGGAAGGGCGGGCGGGCGGGGACGCGCTGCACAGCGAGGTTTCGTCAGGGTGAAGAGCGTCGAGCCTGCGGACCGCTTGGTCTTCACGATGACAAGTGACTGGCCACTGGGATGAGGGGCGACGCCCTGAGCACGCGGGCGGGCTGCGGGATGGCGCCGTGGATGTGAAAGCTGACCCGCTCGTTTGGCCGATGCGCCGGATCGTGGCGCCGCCCTGCATGCAGCATTCCCTGCCGATGAGCCCGGCAGATGAGTGGGGAGAGCGAGGATACGCACGAGCTCGCGCTCTCGAGGACCTCCTGGCCGTAGTCGACTTGGAGCGCCATGTGCGCGTGCGGGTGCGAGACGCCGTAGATCGGGGGCCGTCAGCAGCGCGGAGGTGGTGTCGTGGAAGGCGGCGCCGCCGTTCGCGATGGGGATTCAGATGATGTCTCCGTCGCCCGAGCCGTACTGAGCTTTTCATCAGCAGCCGCCTACGCAGGGGGAGGGCGGCGCGTACGTTCACGATGGCGACCTGCCCCGTCGAGAGCGGCGCGCATTACACGGGGTTGATCCCGCCGAAGCTTCGCTCGCTGACACACTCAGTGTCGCCGACTCCCTGCGAGTTCGTGTACGACTGCAACAACCTCGGCGGGCCTACGTCGTTCCCCGCGCGTCGCACGGGATCTCGATACCATACCCACGGACAGCGGAAGAGATGAGGCCACTGGATGAGGCTGCGCTGCGTCGGGTACTGGATGATCAATGAGCCACGACGGGTTGGCGGACGTGGGGATCGTGGGCGGTGTTGAGGACACTACGTGAGCCCTGGGGAGGTCTGTGTCTCCGACAGTATGATGCCTGAAGGCGGGTGAGCGGTGCCGCGTGCGAGAGGGAGCAGGGCGGCGCACTGTATCCCCCAGTTTAGTTGGTAAACTTGGTCATGGTCAGGGAGCAAGCAAGAAAAGAATGCGAGAGCAAATGGAGAGAAGGAGAAAGGCGCTTACGAGATTGTCTTTCGGACTTGTTTCGGATGTAGCGGGATCAAGCCGATTAAAGCCGAAGTTGAATATCTGGAGCGGCAGTCGTTTTTTTGGTTGACTTTCACGTCCTCCCACTGTATACGAAAGCGCTCAGTAGTAGTGGTGCTAATAAGTGAGTCTTGGAGTACCCGGTGGCGCTCGTGCCCCCTTTCACCACTGGATATCGGTAGAGATCTGGTGGAGATAGCAGAGAGGCGAAAAAGATGTTTCCAAGGCGCAAGGGACTGATGCTTGATGCGTAATGCGGATGCGTATGTGTCAGTAGGCATATGTGAATCTTGCGGTGTAACGTCGGTGCACACTCTGATGATCTTTCGGATCGTCCAACGATCTTCGGTTGATCATTGGTTGATCATTAGATGAAGAACGACCTTAGGGGTCGGATACGCGCAGCGCATGAGCTGGCGCGTGGTTGAAGGCTGGGTTTCTCAGTGCTTACGCCAAAAAAAAGAGAATCAACATTGTTTGCGACGAGCAGTAGTATGGGTCCAAGTGGGTCCGGTGGGATTAGATGATTGATGTATAGCTGAAGGCTTTGCCTTGGCCTCGGTCAGCCGGGCTTCCATAGATTCTGATGAGGTTATACTACAAGAAGTGCGCCGCTTTGCTCTGCCAATTGAAGCAAGCGAAAGGCGCCGAGGAGGTGTAAAATGTTGAACCCAGTTGGATTATGGTACTTTGTGGTCCACGGCAGATTAACTTATACCTGGGGGACATTTTAGCTTTTCGCAGCTTATCAACAACGGTTGGTAGAAATCACACCGGCCGCCTTCTGTCGCCGTGCTCCGAGGAGTCTCCTGATGACACGACAGCTACCGCATGTCAATCAATTGCAACAGCCCCTGCAGTGTGTTCTCCGTTGTCCACGATCCTAAACAGTCCTGCGCCCACTATATGTAAAGGCTTGGGACGCCTCCCCCCTGAAGCTCAACATCCCGTTGCCCGTCATGGCCGCAACATTCTCAATGTTCATCCCGGAGGCTATCGCCTACCAGTCTCGAACCAACCCCGCCCATCCTTTCTACGTCTACGCGAAACCTGACCCCTCCGACGAAATTGTCACCATCACAAGCCTGGAGTTTGCTCGCGCTACTCATCGCGCTGCTCACTTGCTCAGACCGAACCGGAACGGCGCAGATGGTGAAGTAGTAGCCATCATCGCGCTTTCGGATACAACTTTGTACGAGGCCCTCATTGTCGGCCTGATTACCGCCAATCTGATTGTGAGCCACGCCATATCCGCTGGCTTTCACTTGCTCATCGATGTTCAGCCCTTTCCCATTTCGCCGCGAAATACCCCTGCCGCTGTTGTCAACCTTGTCCAGAAGTCGGGCTGTCACCGCGTGCTGGCGACGTGCACCACCCTGCAGCCGCTTGTTGCCGGTATCCGAAACGAACTTGCGCAGGTTGCGCCTGACTTCGAACTCTTGATCCAGGAAGTTCCCTCCTTGCTCGAAATTTACCCGACCCTCGGGGCCGAGGACTCGGATGCTGCATCCGAACTGTATCCCGCACACCCTGCCCCGCTATCGCCCGAGGACATTTGCATCTACCTCCACACCTCGGGGAGCACAGGGCTGCCGAAGCCCATCGCCCACAGCCACAGAACATTGATGCACTGGGCATCGAGCGGTACGCTGCCTGCACTTACTGTCAGATTAGTGATCGTTCATTTATCTATACAGGTGTCGTTGAAGAGGTCCGCGACGCGTATCCTCATCCCGTTGCAGCGATGCCTATTCCGGGTTTCCATCTCATCGGAATATATGGCCTATTGCTGAAGCCCATCTATGGCGGCATAACGATTGCGTTGTACCCGCCAACGGCCCTCACCCCCGGCGCGCTTCCCGTCTTCCCATCCCCAGATAATATTCTTGCCAACACGCGCAAGACCAAGTCGAGAGTCATGTTCACCCTCCCCGCACTGCTGGCGATCTGGGCGAAGTCGCCGGACGCCATCGAATTCCTGAAGACGCTGTCCTTCATCGCAAGTCCTTATCCGCATCTGGAAGTTTGGTTGATTTTCTAACAGCTCAATTAATTCAGGCATTTGGCGGTGGGTGCCTCCCCCAGCGCCTCGGAAACGCGCTTGCGGCCGCCGGGCTCAAGATACAGGCTGTATACGGTGACCTACATAAACCGCCTCCCTGCGAAACTGTTGAACAACGCCCCTAACTTCAGGTGCCACGGAATTCGGCTCAATAACCTCGATGCTTCCTTACAAAGAAGACGTGAATGAATGGGAGTGGTTCAGATTCTCTAGCAAGGTGAAACTTCGGTGGATGCCGCAAGGCGATGGGACATACGAATGCCAAGTTTTGGTGAGTGGATCCACGTCTACTAGGAATCCGTTTATAAATCTACTTGGCCACCAGCATACCGAAGACTATAATCTCAGCGTAGCAAATCTCCCCGACATTCGCGGATACGCTACCTCGGACCTCTTCGTCAATCATCCCCAGAAGAAGCACCTGTGGAAGATGTATGTGCGTTCGACCCGCAGCGGCATATGCTGACTTGGAGCCTAGTGTTGGACGTGCAGACGACGTGATTGTTCATCAGTCGGGAGAGAACACGTACGGAGAAGCTTGAGCCTCGCTATTTGATTAAAATTTCTGAACTACAGGGTACCTGCGCCCATGGAAGATGTCATAAATAGCAGTCCTCTGTGAGTTGCTCTGAATCGTGACCGCGATGGTTGACTTCAACTATCGTAGTGTGGCAGCCGCCGTTATGTTCGGCCGCGATCACAATCAAGCAGGGATCCTGATCGAGGTAGAACCTAGCTCGCAGATAGACGTCACCGATAGCGCTCAGGTCTTAGCGCTCCGGGAGAAGCTCTGGTGCGGCTTCATATATTCATATGTTGAGCATTGGTTTGTTTTAACGACAACGAAGGCCTATAATTGAGGAGGCCAACAGCGTCGCGCCAAAGTACAGCAGAATATTCCCCGAGATGGTGCTCTTCACCTCGCCCACAAAGCCTCTGCCTCGCTCGGGGAAGGGAACGGTCATGCGCAAGGCCGCGCTCTTAGTGTTCGCCGCGAAAATTGAGGCACTGTATGTCCATCTCTCAGTCTATGCTGTCAACTGAATATGAAGACTCCCGTAGATACGAAACCATGGAAAGCTCGGGAGGGAGCGCATCCGTGGCCGTACCTACCGCGTGGGATGCCTCAAGCATCCAACGGTGGCTCCTTGAACTCACAGCGGACCTGGTACAAGGCGGCACGAGGATCTCCCCTGATGTCGATTTATTCGAACAGGGATTCGACAGGTCAGATAGTTCGTTCCTCCTAAGTTGGAACTTACGCCATACTCTATAGCTTGAGCGCCGCCTTTCTCCGGCTGCGGGTCGTGAGCGCGATGCAATCTTCCAAGGACCCCGCTGTGCGAAATGCCGCGAGCGGGGTCACGCAGAATACCGTCTACTTGTTCCGATCGGTCTCCGGAATGACGGTGTTTCTTGGTGGCCTGGTATCGGGGGTCGCATGCGC